AGAACCTAATCCAAATCATAGTATGCAACAACGATCTAATGTCATAGTGAGAATTTCAATGATCTAATGTCACATTGACATTTTAATATTATAAGCTTATAAATTTGTTTTTCTTTCTTTGTTCCTGATTCTTTTCCTGTATTTCCTCTTAGTAATGTTATGATGCATGTTATGATGCATATATCAGAACAAACAAACAACCTTTCAGTCAGGATTCAAAATAGAGCCTGGCTATGTAAGGTACTGTTGATTTTCCATTACTCAGATGTTTGGCACAATGGAGCTATTCTAAATCCACTCAACAAAATTTGGATACTGCATGGGACTAAAGAAGCATGCTTTCTCTATCCATGCTCTCTGGAACAGCATCCCTGCAAATTACAGATGGCATCCAGTCTCTTAAGGTTCTGGAAAATTTGTATGACTTAGTTCTGTTCATATGTTATGGAACCCTGTTATGTTTTTATTCTTATTGTTGCTTTAGTCCAGGCAACTGCATTTTATTTCATTTTTTGTTTAATGTTAATTGTGCATTTTGCTATTACAAGCTACCCATAGTCTATTGGAGCAGGTGGCCACAATCAATGTAATTAATTTATTCAATAAAATGCTATTAGAATTATGCAATTAGGAAAAATACAATTCTATGAAGATAAGGTTTTTATTTAGAATCGAACAGAATTTACTTATTAGGTTTCGAAGGCTGCCCAACTCAATAATAACTTTGTGTGGGTACCATTTTTTTAAAAAAAAAAAAAACCTCTCGTGAAAAGTGTATTATAAACCATCTTGACAGAACTCAATTCAGGAGGACATGTACACCAACATATCCTAGAACCTGGGGGGGTGGGGGGTTGGGAGCATTGTTTGCAAGGATAGCAAAGATGGGACTGGGATACTGTTCCAGAAATTGGATATCATGGTGTGTGAACTACTATAAAGCTATTGGTTTTAATCAGTTCTGTTGCATACATTGCAAATAAGGCCAGGAAAAAATGCTATCTGAAAAAAATAAGGAAAAGATATCAGAAAAAATGATAGCATATTAAGTAGGTATATTGATATTGTCCTAATAATTTACAGAGTGAGTGGCTTATATTTGTTTGTATATGAATAAAAATACAGTCCTCCGCAAAGGCTACTGAATAATGATGTAGAAATACTGACTAACAGTGTGGGAGTACCATACTGGAGATGGCTATTACATTGATAGTAAATCCCTTGCTCCCTGCTTTCCCATCCACTCATCTTTTATTCTCATATTGCTGTGTTCTCATTATTTTCTTTTTAATTGTTTATTCCGTTCTTCCAATACTTTCCTATGTTTACACTTGTTTTCATTGTTGTAAGCCACCTAGCTTCCCAGTGAGATAGGCAGCAAATAAATTTAACAAACGCATACATAAATGAATAACATTTGTAAAGTTACAAGAAAAATTATTCCTTTATCATCTCATAACAAATTATTAAATAAAACATTAAACCATACCAAAAACTCAGAAATATTTCTTCCCACTTCCCAAAGACATGGAAATTGTAATTTTTATTGTTGTTTTTGAATGGGACAAATGGATTTTCCACAATTGGTGAGATTTGATAGCTTAATTTCACACTTAGACTATTAGAATGGATAGGTTTAAATAAATTATGTATGCATACATATATTTGGAGAGAAAATTGTGTTGGTTAGGAGAATGAACATTAATAAACTTACTGGTATCAAACATCTATATATCAAGGGATAGTATTCCTTTATAGAACATATTGTGTATGTGACAGAAAACACATCACTTTCTATATCATATATGTGCTCCCCCCCCCCCCAAAATAGTGGGAAAATATACACTTGCTCTATCAAATGTACCTATCACTATCGCTTCCTCTTCTTTCTCTCTCCCTTCCTCCTCCCCCTCCTCTTCTCTTCTTCTATTTCTCCTCTCTGTTCTTTCATTCTTCCCCCAAAAGATTCTCGGATCAGATACAAGATGTAAACGCAAGGCATGAAATTTTTTTTTTTTTTGTACTCCTTAGAGCTGCACAATAGGCACTGATAATATTATTTTATAGTATATCAAGGACAGCAAGTACACACACACACACACACACACACACACACTTATATGAACAAGGAATCCAATGAAAGAAAACATAGAAACATACATTTTTTCCTTGGTAGAACACATGCAAATCCACAGGACAAATTGAAGAATGTGTGGTAATTTAAATAGTGATATTAGACTGAAGCAGCATTTATTTTGGAAATACAAAGATAAAGCTAGTCCTCCACATTTCCATAATGCAAGACTGGTAGTTAACAAAATGACTAAAAAAGTCAACTTTGTCTTCTGAAACTGATGATGGGGCTGCTTGCTAATGGACATTTATATGCTAAATTATGTCATAATGCAACCACCATGATTATGCAGCTGCTTCCTGATACCTGACATAAGCTGCATTTTTTGTATGCTGATGTCATAACACACATTTCCACCTTTTTCCTTGCATGGAAATAAATAATAATAAATTTAGACTAATTTTGTACCTGTAATTAATCTGTTTAACCACACTTATAATCTTAATTCTCTATCCTTAGTGAACACAGATCATAATCACATAGTCAGCAGTAATAATAGAGAAGAAATGAAACAATTAAAACTTTTTTCAAATTAATATTAATATTATATAATTTTACAATCAAACAATCATGTTCAAATTACACATTTTTTAGCCTGAGGATAATGTAAAATAGAATATCGACTGTGAAACCATTATTTAACAGTAACATTATTATTATTTAAATGATCAACTGAGGACCAAATATATATATATATATATATATTCACCTTTCTTGTCATCAAAGTACAAAGTTTGTTGAGCTGGATTCGACCACTGGAGGGAGGTGTTATCGTTTTGATCAACTCTACAAGTCAGTGTTGCTGTTTCACCCTCAATAACTGTAACATTCTGTGTGAGTGGAAACTGGCCTTGGCTGCCTGCGGAGGACATTAAAAAGAAAAAGAAATTATACTATATTAATAGTTATCAGGGTAGGTCAATATCTCTTACTTTCCCAAAGACATTCAGTGAGTTCCTGTTGTTTTATATTATTCCAGTAAAAAGAAAATTTTAAAAAAATACAATCTTATCAGAATTGCTCTTAAGATAGATACATTATGCTTTTATCCATTCTTTTTCACAAAAACAATAATTTTATGAAAATTATCAGAATATGATTTCCTTTGTTTAAGTTAGTATCATTTTCTGACATGTAATAAGGCCAGGTGAACATTTTAACAATTTAAAATATTTTAGAATAAAGAAAAGTCACAAAATCTATATTTGTATTAACTAGTGTCCCAATTTAAACAACAGTTTGCTAAATTTCTCTTTGTGTGATTAATGTACAGTAATTAAAGGCAGGCAAAATTATCAAGAATACTTTTGCAAAATCCTGAGAAGCAGATTCTGAACTGAAACATATCTTAGGGCAACTTCATATCTAAAATTCTAATTCAAACATAATATGAATATTTTTATCAATATTTCTCTATTTTTTTATTCTAATTAGGCCTGATTTGTTTTTTTTCACTATTCCTAAACAGGAATAGTTAAAATGTTTTCAGAGTTCAAAAGTAACACTAAAGATGGGCAATTTAGTATTTTCATACTATGTCATGAAAATCAGATGACTGCCGCCTATTTGGAAAAATATGAATTATATAAGTTTTCAAAAGTTCATGTATTTTCTTTTTTCTTTAAGTAATATAGAAATACCTAGTAAAACATTTTAATACATTTTAAATGTATAATTTAGAGGTTACACATAATTTAGTCATTAATTGTTGAATTTATTCTTCTTCAATATTTTCAAACATTAAGATAAATACTGTTTTAAGGAGCACACATTCAAAATGGTGATAGATAGATAGATAGATAGATAGATAGATAGATAGATAGATAGATAGGAACATAATATCTTTCCTTAGATAAGAAATATTTAAGAAAAGTATTGGCAGATCTTTTCCACTAGCAGTAACATATTTGTAGTGAGTTTTCTGGAAGGCAGTAGCAGGAAGACTTAATACTTAAAGCTGGTCACTTCTATTTTATGGCCATTAATAGTCCATAAATGGAACTTTTATTGAAACAATATAATTTCATTTAGGGGAGAATAAGTAAGCCTGCAAATTTAATGCACACAGATCTGCATATTTCTTATTTTTATTTCATTGTTTTCTTAATTCTATTCTACTTTTCTTCAAGGAATAAAAGAAAGCATGCATCAAATATTATGCTAGGGGTTTTTTCCCCCAAAAAATAACAATTTGTGAGTTTAGGTTGCTGAGAGATACTGGTCCAGAGACTGAACCATGGGTGGATTTGATTACACCAGAAATTCATAAGATAACACATGGTGTATCGAGATAGTGATTACTACTTTTTTGTTTGAGAACATCAAAAAATGAAGCCACATGGTAAAATTCAGGTACTGTAAATAAAAGAAAACAGTTATTCACAAACTACTTGCTATATTTATTATAAACTCCATCTCCCATGCTAAACAAAGCAATAATGTCAATAACAGTTGTTGAAAACAAAATTGTTTTCAACTTCCGCTTTCATTGCATTAGATTAACTCACAACTTGATTAGCATGCAACAGCTTTATCTTTTCCGAGGATTTCTAGCTGACTTTTGTTCCATTCATATTGGTAGATTTTCCTTATCTGTATGCATAATTATTTCATCTTGAAATGTTATCTATCCTTCAATACTGCAGACTTAGAACCAGTATTGTAATAACTTCATAGTATTTAGTCTCTTTTAGATACAACTCTATGCAACAGTACACTTAAATATGCAAAACTGAAATAAATTAGGAAAAAATATTGAACTTGTTGATGTGTTTGTCTTTGCCTTCAAAATATCTATAAAAACGGTCATGGTGATTGCTGACATTCTTTTTGATGAATTATTTCAACAAGCTGCTCATGAATCTAGCAGATGTTTATGTTGTCTAGACCAGTGAGAACCGTATGGACATTTTCCTTTTCTCCTCCCTGAAACAAATTTTAACAGAAGATCTAGACGCAAGCATGCCGTGTGATAGCATAGAAAATGCATTATCACATAATGGATGCATGAAAATTTACTAATAGTATTGGTTGTCTGGTTTTAATATACTGAACTCGAAAATAACATCCTTCCCTATTCACTTTTGCTTCCCTTCCCCTTCCCTTCTCTTTCCTTTCCCAGAAGAATTTTTAAATATTGTGCTGTGCTTTCTATGATACTAAGACAACTAAAAATGGAGAAATAAAATTAGGAACCTAACCTGTGTCTAATGATTTTTATTATTTGAGGGAAACATTGTGCATAAGGAAAAATGTTTTTTGTATTAAATGGGAATAATGATTACAGAAAAAGAACAGGATCAACGATAGATTTTTTTTTATTTGAAAAAAACAGGCTTAGATGTCTTGTGAAATTAAAAGGATTTTTCCCCATTATTATTTGCTAGTAATCAGAATAGTCAGAAACATTGTATCTGTAATTGTGAAGAAAGAAAGATGTACTAGTCATGATTCAAATCAGACAGTTTGTCACCATAAATATCATGTTTCCTCGAAAATAAGACCAACCCCAAAAATAAGCCCTAGACTGGGGTTTTTGGGGATGGGCTTAAAATAAGCCTTACCCCAAAAATAAGCCTGGGAGTGGCATGGCCTGCCAGCCCCTTAGCACAGCACAGATACCTATAAATCCGAGCACAAAGGCAGAGACAGAGGGAGACAGGCAATCCAGATGTACTACGTGGCTGCCTGGCTCATGGGAGGCTCGTGGGAGTATTGTGCAGTGCTACCAGCAGCAGGCAGAGGCAGAGGCATGGGGGAAGGGAGGCAGGGATTCCAATGCCCCGCATGGCCGCCTAGTTGGCATGGCCATAGGCAAGTTGAGAGACAGTGGGATGGGGTGGGCAGTGCATTAGGATTTCCTGCCTCTGCCCATGCCTCTGCCTCCACCTGGCTCTGCCATGCACTTTTCACCCAGAGGGAGACAAAGCTTTGTCTGCTTGTAAATGGGATTCTTCATATGAAAGTGTCCCATTTGCAAGCAGGTAAAGCTTCGACTCGTCCTCATTTCTCCATCTAGGCAAAAACTATTTGGGCTTCTAAGGGTCACTTGGGAACAGAGTGTTTTGCCTGGCTGTGTTGCCCGGCCTCCTGCTCCGATGCTGTGCTGATGCTGGAAGAAGTAAACTGGCAGCCATGTGGGCTCCTTCTGCATATGGTTCTTGGTGCTGCTACAACCAGGCAGTTGTCAGGGCGTGGAGCCATGGGGCCCTGAAGTAAGCTGGTGTGCATGTCAGGCAGCTCCACCCCCCCCCACCTTGCAGCAGTGCCACTCAAAAAATTAAGACCCCCAAAATAATCCCCAGTGCTTATTTCGGGGGCCCAAATAATAAGAAAATAAGATTGGGTCTTAGTTTCTTATTTTCGGGGCAACATGGTATTGAGTTATACTGTACAAGGATGACAGAATTAACAGGCTGGGTCAACTTGATCTATGATCATTCATTATTGCAATTTAAAGACAAAATATTGTCAATGACATATTTTTATGCATTTGCTGTAAGAAAAAGGCTTTAAATCCTTCAGAATACACTAAAAGTGTTGTATTCACAGATACCAGCATATGCTTCTACGTAGCTCATAAACATATACAGATTGTGTAGTGCAGGGGTCGCCAACCTTTTGGACCTCAGGGACCACCAAATTCATGATTTTAGATCCCAGGGACCACTAACTGGTTCTGTGAGTGTGGCCTAATTTGTGGGTGTGGCTTAGTGGTCATGTGACTGGCTGGGCATGGCTTGTATGTAAATATTATAAATATTTATATAAATATTGAATTTTTTATAAAAAAGAGCAACTTTTACCCCAAATCAGGCAAAGCAGGCAGAGTTGCTCACAGAATCACAGATTCATTCAGAGATCTATCTATCTGCCACATAAAATTTGCTTGCAAGCTGTGGGAACTATGATTCTTTGTTCTTTGTGTACGTGCTAGGACAACAGAGCCTTCTGGTGGTTGGCTGGAACACGGAGCAAGGAGCAAGGACAAATTGTTGCCATTTCTTAACCAGAACTGTAGCAAACTTAAACTTTGCAGCTTTGTATGCTTTATGCGAATGATCAGTCATGTTGTGTGATGTAATGCATTTGTGATAGGACGTTAACAAAAATTGCTACGTTAACAAAGATTGCTTCTAATAAAAGAGGGTTTCGGAGTTTGCTCTGGGCTCTCATCCCGGGACAACCTTGCGTTGTGTCTTTTTTCCATGAGAGACCACCACAAGTGGTGACCCCGACGTGATCTGCTGCGGGCAGATACGGGTTCTGCTCTTCTGTACTTATCGCCTGGAAGAGGCAAAGGTGCGCACCATAATTGATAACTGTCGCAGGCGACGATTATCTTCGTAAGTATGGGAGGAAAACTGTCACAACATCAGGAGAAGCATATTACAGAGTTGTTGAAGTTAGTCAGAACCAATTTCTTTATCTTTAGTTCTTCTGGTAGGGAAAAAAATTTGTCACGATCCAATGTTAAATTGTTAATGCATACTGTATGTATGCAGTGTCCATGGCACCCTGAACGAGGTTCCTTAAAATTGGAAACGTGGAGACAGATTGGCAATGTTCCCCACGATGAGCCTCGGGCGGATTCAGAAGTTTTAACTTGTTGGAAGATGGTTATTACTGCTTTAGAAGCCCAACAACAGCCGTTATTGAAACCATTATTGGATCCACCTCCGTATCAAAATAAGGTAGTCTTGTGTCCGCCTGTCTCGAGATTGGAAGATGTGGTATCTCCCCCGACAGCTCCTAAAAATCCATCAGGAGATGTCAAGGTGGGAAATCCTAAAATAAATACACCCCATGCTGGGAGAGTTCAAGCAGCTATGCAAGCAGCTTTTCAAGCAGGACAGCTGGAGGGGGAGGAGATTGACTGCATGCAATTGTTTCCCATTCAGAGGCAAGTTGATAATGCAGGAAATTTACAGGATGTCTGGAATCCACTGCCTTTATCTCTTTTACGGGAAGTAAAGAAATCTGTGAAGGAGTTTGGCATACAAAGTCCATATGTCCAGGGTTTGCTTCACAGTTTGGGGCAAGCTCAAAAGATGATTCCGCAAGATTGGAAAGACTTAATGAGAATTATTCTGAACGGGACACAATACGTGGTATTTGATGCAGAATATCAAAGAGAAGCAATTAACAGAGGAAATAATTCAGGGGGTTTGTATATTCCTGATCAAATCTATGGGGCAGGGCAGTTTGCAACTGTGGAGCAGCAGGCAACAAATTTGCCTGATCACTGCTTCCCGGTTGTTACGACTGCTGTTATGGGAGCGCTGAGGCGAGTGGAGGAGGCAGGAGTGCCTACTAAATCCTTTTCACAAATCAAACAAGCAGCTACAGAGCCATATGCAGATTTCATTGAGAAGCTCCAAAATGCCATTCAGCGGCAAATTTCTAATCCGGAAGCTGCAAAGGAACTTTTGATGAAATTGGCAGCGGAAAATGCAAATACAGATTGTAAGCGGGTTTTGCAGCCTTTGGTCGTGCGGGGGGAGGCAACCTTGGCAGATTTGATTAAAGCTTGTGCTGTAGTAGGTTCGCAAAGGGTCTTAAACCTACTGGGAATTGCTTCAATTGCGGGAAGCCTGGGCATTTCAAAGCCCAATGCCGGGCCCCAGGGGGAGGTGCTGCTCTTTTTCGGAAGAGTCTTCCACAGCAGAACTCAAGTCCTGGGGCATGTCCAAAAACAGTATGTCCCAAGTGTAAAAAGGGTTTCCACTGGGCGAATCAGTGCCGCTCTCAGGCTGCGCCTTCGGGAAACCGATAAGGGGGTACGCAACTAACCCTGCTCCAAAGGTTGCACCTGTGCTCAATGCATCACCAGCGACTACAGGAAGTGCTGGTTTGGACTTACGAATATTAAAAGATATCATTATAACTTTTCCAAATCAAGTTTATATTGAGGACACCCATTTAAAGGGCCCCCTTCCTCCGCAAACGGTGGGGTTGGTCTTGCCTCGTTCCTCAGCTTCTAAGAAAGGGTTTTTGTGATTTCAGGGGTTATTGATCAGGATTATACAGATATTATAAAAATTCAATTTTATTCAGATGTACCAGCTAATCTTGCAGCTGGAGACTCCATTGCGCAATTGATAGTGTTACCCTATACTCCAATTAATCCGTTGGTAGGGAAGCCTCGGATAGGGGGTTTTGGCTCTACAGAATGTTGTTCAGAGCTATTGGCCTTAGTGAAAAACATTAAGCCATCTCAGCCCAAGTTGAATTTTCTTATAGAAGGGAAATTGTTTTCCGGTGTTGTAGATTCCGGAGCAGATGTTTCAGTAATTCGGCAAGAAGAATGGCCCAAAGAATGGCCTACGGAAGATTCTCCGGCTGTAAGGGGGGTAGGAGGTATGCAATTTGCTAAAAGTAGTGTTAAATGGCTTGTGGTTACCCATGAATACAGGAGGCCAGGGGCAATTCAGGCTGTAATTCAGCCACTGGTAATGCCTTTGCATGTAAATTTATGGGGCCGTGATTTGCTTTCTCAATTTGGAGCTACCATAACTTTGCAGGATTGAGATGCTAAAATTAACCTTATTGTCCGAGGTTCCTGTGTGGGTGGACCAATGGCCTTTAACCACTGAGAAATTGTTTGCTTTGCATGAATTAGTACAGGAGCAGCTGGGTCTGGGTCATATCAAGTCTACCACTAGCCCGTACAACACTCCTGTTTTTGTGATCAAAAAGAAAAGTGGAAAATGGCAACCTTAACCCCATGGGATAGTCATAGTTACTTTCATCAAAAAAAAAAGGCCGTTATCAAACAGTTTCGCCTTCCTGCGGAGGAGGCTGCAGCTATTATACAACAATGTCCTACATGCAGCTTACAAGCAGCTGCTCTCCCTCAGGGTGTCAACCCTAGAGGG